CGACACACACGCTCACGAGGGCAGACAGACGTGACGACACACACGCTCACGAGGGCAGACACAGACATGACGACACGCGCTCACGAGGGCAGACAGACGGGGCGACACACACACTCACGAGGGCAGCCACAGACGTGACGACACACACTCACGAGGGCAGACACAGACGTGACGACACACACGCTCACGAGGGCAGACAGATGGGGCAGAGCGCGGCTGACAGACCCCAAGGGTGGGGCCTCCAAGAGGGTGCCAGCGCCCCCTTTCAGGCTTTTGAGAGGTTTCATATATAGACAGCAATGCTCTTTGCTAGTATTTTCCTAAAAGATTCATGGGCGAGATTATAAAAGCACAGCGAGGATGAGTAAGAAGTACCAGGTTCCAAAAGAGGAGAAAGGTAGCATGTTAACTCCGGCTGTGAAAGTCAGGGCGAAATGCTCAGGGAACAGAAGAGAGCTGGTGGTCTCAGACTAATCACACATGAAAGCAACACTTTTCATTTCCAATCTTACGGGTTAACATTTGTAGACCAGTGTAAAAATTTTAATTACACACTTGAACACAGTGTAAACATGCACACACAGACTCTGACCCACATTTTTGGGACTGGAGTTGACATGGAGTCAAATGAACTTCTGAATGTAAATTAAACTGGAGAACCACGAGTGTGCCTCGGGTTTTCTTTCAGGGGATGGGTCCCAGGACGGGGGGTGCAGCGCATGAGAGCCAGGCCTACACACTCGCTCTTTCACGCGTGCTCATTTTGTGAAGGTAACACTTACAGAAAAGCACCAAGATACACTGCTCTGACCTGCCTGGACACACACCGCAAACTGCCCCCGCCAGCTTGTGTGCAACCCTCCAAGACTGAAAATCACCACGCTCACAGCAGGGGACAGGGTGGGGGAGAACCTGTGTGCTGGAAGGTCCCACGGCGCGCCTAGGCACTTTGATGTCAAACCCACTCTTGGGGTCCTTCTCTCCCCTCAGAGCTGGGTCGTTGAAGGGCTCACGCCCAGCCTCCCAGTCGCACACTGTCTTCCTGATGGCCTGCAGGACACTGAACACAACCCAGAGTCACACACCGAGACACATACACCAGAACTTACAACTCTCCAATAACCACAACGTGCTCACAGAACAGAAATTTCCTTTGCAGGCAAGGAGGGATGTGGGAAATGACAAGTTCAACATCAAATTTTAAAAATATTGTTTTCACGGCAACATTAATACTCCTAGAATATCTGACTTAGTTGTAATGTATACAAATGGGCCTGGAGTAATTTTCTCAGTTCCTGAATGTACATCACAGCAAGGTGGCAAGTCAGGTTCAGGGCAGGGAGACAGCCAGGCCCATGTGCCAAACAGGCACTGTGTTTTCCAACAAGACATGACGTCAGCAACACAGCTCCTGATGCGCTGGGAGCATGACTCTGTCACCACCAACAGGGCATGTGACCCTGTCACGGCCAGAGCTCCCCAACACTGTAGGCAAGTCCCACACACCCATGCTCTCTGCCTGAATACTTAAGGGGAGACAATCCAGCTGAACGTTGAGTCATTTTTAGAGTACACATTTGATAGGCTTTGCAGCTGGGAGTGGATGACTACAGTCTGTTCCTTGTTAATGGCAAGCTCTTCCCTTCTACACCTGGTGTGCCTCAAACATATCCTATCTGTACAGACGACCCTCTGCACTCAGGCCAAGCTCTCGATGCATGTATATGAACACGCCAGGACACTCTCCCTACGGCAAGTACACGCAGAACGGGAAGCATGACATGAAACGGACACCCCGATTAAGTTCTCAGGGGAGGGCAAATGAACTGGTAAGCATCATCGTTTACAAGTTCTAGTAATATACTAAAATCATACCATGCCAGAGACAAACACATAAACTACAAAACAAGAAAATGAAATCAACACATTTGTAAACCCTTGCATGCTTAATTTTACATAGATGTTTCTGAAAGACAACTTTATCCAAAAAGCTCAACATGAAGAAAAAATAAACTTAAGATCACTACTGAATTTCTGCAATATGTAAGTAGCTTTTGCCCAATTTGTAAGACAGCCCAAAAAGAAATAAAGGCAAACTAAAAACTACACATTTGAGGCAGGAGGTAGAATTCCGGGTGGTGTGTCCCAACACACCTGGTGATAAGGCTTGTTGGGCAGATTTTCAGACACCTCCAACACCAAGAAAAATACACCACTTTCCCTGGGTCTTCAGACTCTTTAGACACTCTGTAGCTGATTTATCACAAGCTTTTTGGGTTAATAATTCAGGACCCCCTGCATCACACCTAGAGGTAACTCACCCAACAAGGTGTCTGGAAGTTAAAGTATCGAGCATGTTATGAAAATGTAGCTGCCAGACTGAGTGTGAGAATATCCTACAACTCCTGGACCTGAATGCACATGGCAGGGCATCGCAAAGCTAACCTCTGGATGACGTTCTTCTTCTTTTTGATGGCCTGCCTGAGCGGCTCCCTCAGGGTCACCTGCGAGAAGTCCTGCAGCGCAGCGTAGACAGTGTGCCGGATGGCATGGTTGAATACGCTTTCCATCCTGCCCATCAGCACCTGTAAGCCTTTGATCATGGCGATCACCTGCAAGGGAAAGGCTATTCTCAACACACCAGAGGGTGGCAAGAGAGGGCTCCTTCTCAGGGACGGCACCAAGTCTCAGGAGCTGATGTGCACCAGGAAGCTGCCTCCTCATCCACAGCCCCTTCTTGCGAGCCTCCTGCATCCCTGCTCTGCAGTCACCCTGCTCTGGGCAGCCACCTTCCCTAAGCAGTTCTCAGCACGCGGCCACTGCCAGAGCCAGATCCTGCCAGACTGGGAGTGCCTTGGCACTGTGATGGACTTCAAATGGAAGAAAAGAATAAGGATTCAGGAAAGCAAATACGCTGTTAGACAAAAAAGAAAACAGAAGCCACAGAGTGTGCAGACCAAATTCCATTTTTTATACAATAATGGCACACTGAACTGACGTGCACAGAAAAGGCCAGGAAGAAAACGCATGGAACTACTTAACCGTCATCTCTGTGCTGGTACCATAGGCACTGCAATTTCTTAAGGGATGCAGAAAAAGATGTGCTTAAAGACAAATTTACAGTTTTAAATGCAAATATTAGAAAATAAAATAAGGTTGGAAATAATATTAATAAGCTAATATTCATCACAAATTTATAAGAACAGCAAACTACCCTAAAAAGAAAGAAAATACGTATATAAAAGTAGAAATTAAGGAAACAGAAATCATATAATAGAGAAGATCAATGAAGCCAAAGTCTATTTAAAAAATAAAAATAAATAATAAAATTGGTAAATACCCAGGAAAACTGATCAAGAAAAAAGAGACAAGGTACAAACTATCAGCATTAGGAATGAAAAAGAGGACATTACCACACAGTCTAAAGAGATTATGTGCGTATACTGGCACAGGGATAGACACATTGATCAGTGGAATAGAACTGAGAGTCTAGAAACAAACCCCTGCATTTACAGTCAACTGATTTTCAACATGGATGCCAACAAAATTCAATGGGGAAAGAATATCTTTCCAACAAATAGTACTGGGACAACTGGACATCCATATGCAAAAGAATAAAGTTGGACTCCTGTGCAGGAAAAGGTTAGCTCAGCAGGCCTAGGTTGCCAAAATCCTGCATATTCCAGAGAAAGGCCTGGTGTCAGAATTAGAGCTTGGTTCCTAGTAGCCAGCCAAGGGCCAAGACTCTGGAATGTTCTGTCTCAGAAGAATGTTTTTGTATGCCTGAGGTTTTGGGCCACACTGACTATACCAGTCTGACCAGATAATTTATGCCAACAATGTGATTTATGGTACACCCTTGCTTTGCTTTGGGGTCTGCAGTCTGACTAGCTGAGGTCAGCAAACCACGGATGTTTTTACACATTGTTGATGGGAAAATTAAGCATATCCTGTATGACTCCACTAGAAGGGGACACCTAGAAGGATCTGGACTTTGCCCCATGTGTCTTTTCCCTTTAATGATTTTAACTTGCATGCTTTTGCTGTAGTAAACAGTAAATGTGAGTTTGTTACTGAGTCCTGTGAGTCCTTGTAGCAAATCACTGAGGTGGTCTCGGAGATCCCTGACACAACCCCTACCTCACACCATATACAAGAATTAACCCAAAATGGATCACAGATTTAAATGTAAGAACTAAAACTATAAAACTCCTAAAAGAAAATGTAGGAGTAAATCTTCATGACCTTGGGAAAGGCAACAGTTTCTTAGGTATGATGCCAAAAGCACAGCAACAGAAGAAAAAACAGATACACTGGACATTATCAAAATTAAAGACTTTTGTGCTTCAAGTGACCAGAGTCGATCTAGGAACACAAAGCAGATAAATCTCCTCACCTCGACCAGGGCAAACTTCTCCTCGCTGGTGTAGTTATAGCGTGTCGCTCGCTCATACTCTTCAGCATTGTCAGGGCAGTCCTTATTGGAGTACTTGTCCGTTGGATGCACAAGTTTCCATGAATACTGGTGTGGTCAGAAAGAGAAGGAACATTCTACCCCGAACGCAAAATGCTCCACTTTGGTCTGATTTGCATCGCAACTCCCAAAGCTACCACAAGGTCTGGCCATGTGACTTCAGCTTTAAAACATCAGGTAAAATGCCTGGATATTTTGTGTTGACTGTTTAAGACTCTAGGCATATCAGCAACACTTGTAAAGAGAATCTGCTTTTCAAATGACCATGTACTCATCTAATTTAATAATTTTCATTTAACCAAAATAAACCATAAAAGGGAAAAACTTTATGACTTACAGGTATCTTGAATTTTTATATGATTTCAGAAATAATTCTAGTAATATTAAACAAAAGACACTGATGGCTGGAACTTTAAAGAGAAAATGTTAAAAATATGACAACGAAAAATCATCCTAATGGTAAGAATGTAATTCTATCAATATATATAAAACATGAGGACTTTTATTTTTAACACACATAGATGAAATACAGTTTGAGAAATCTTAGAAACGTTTTACATTAACACAAATTCTTATTTCTAGGCCCAAAGATAAAAAGCCAATTTGTTCTTGACCCAAAGACCAAAGTCAATGATGAAAAAAAATCATTTAGTCTATTTCTTGGCAAGTTTAAGAAAAAAAAGCACTTCTACCTAACCATGGGGTAGAAGTTGTTTTAATTCCTTGAATTTCCAAATTAAACTGACTGCAGAGTACATACCACTTCCATCACATGTGCACTCCACTGCGACAGGAGCTGCAGGCCCTGCAGAGCCAGGTCGAAGAGCTTGCGGTATTCGGCATCTGTCTTCTGTGCCTCCTGGCGGCCAGACCCTGTGACGACCTAGGGCACAGGTCAATATGAGCATTAAAAAGTCACCTTCTATCTAGAAAAACCACATGTGCTTACCCTTTGGCCCAAATCCATTCTAGAAATCTATCCCAAAGTTATACTCTCAAGCGTTTAAAATGATGTGAGCACCAGACCAATCACTGCAGCAAAGACTGGCAACCAGAAAGGCCATCTGGCGGGTGCCCCAAAGCTCTCAAGAGAAGAGAAAGGTCACAACCGATCACACTGGAGGGGTCTCCAAGACAGATTGGTTGCATCTAGCCAATAAAGGCAAACAAGCATATCACGGGTATTTGCTTATATAAAAAACTGAAAATTTAAAGGAGAGGGTGGAAGGGGAGGCAGCATTCTTTGAATACACCTCCTTCTGCAGACTTGACTTTTGGTGTTGTTGTTGTTGTTAGTTGCTGCTGAGTCTATTCCAACTCAAGGCAACTCCATGTGTACAGACTAGAACTACTCCACATTTACGTAATTGTGACCAAAAATTAAATTAGGGAAAAGAAGCATCCCTAAAGATCAAAAGCAAAATAAAACAATGAACTGAACTGTGTGTCAACCTGGCATCATGCCCACAGAGTGAGGAATCACTTCAAGGCACTTTGAAACACCATGATTGGATTTAACATCCCTAGAAGGAGAAAACCTAAAGATAAAATTAACAGCAAAACAAATCTTAAACAACTTTTTATTATTATTATGATAAGTAGTGCTGGTATTGTATTTTAAGATTAAACCCTGGTGGCATAGTGGTTAAGTGCTACGGCTGCTAACCAAAATGTCAGCAGTTCGAATCCACTAGGCGCTCCTTGGAAACTCTACAGGGCAGTTCTACTCTGCCCTATAGGGTAGCTATGAGTCAGAATCAACTCAACGGCAACGAGTTTGGTTTTTTGCTTTTAAGTGTGTATGGTAACATAAATCAAATGAAATTCATGCTGGCATAGTTAAGAACCAGGATTTTCAGCATGGGAGAAAAAAGAAAAAGAAAAAAAAGTTGATCCCAGAACATCTTGTCCTACTAGAAAGTATGGTAGCGTAAAAGACTACAAGAGCTGTGTCAGAAACACCTGCAAGCCAAGTTGAAGAGGCTTTCACAAACTGAATTTGAGCAGAAATAATAATAACTTAAGTACACTGAGTTCAAAACAGTACTGAAAAAAATTGATTTGTTGCCTTAGATGATGCTAAGGAACCGATTTTTTAAAAAGTTGATAAAGAAAAGGGATCAAGCTATTATCCCCTCTCTTCTGTAAGAACTATACCTAAGGGCAAGGCGCAGGGCAAGGCGCAGCTGTTATAATGAGCTGAGAAGGAACGATAAAACTACAATGTCACCATTTTGCAGCCATGATGAATTAATGAATCTAGACTGTGAACAACGGCTGTCATGTAAGAGAGTGAAGGACAGCTGGACATTGCACCTCCCGTAGTCCACAGAAACGCCAATGAGGGTCGAAAGAACTGAGAGAATAGAAGCTGAGCCTGATCAAGCCTCTGGATCTAATGCCAATGTACTGGAAAAACAGGGGACAGAAGATCAAGGTCAATGGCACCACAACGGTGAAAGAAAAGGAAGGAGAGAGGGGGATTACACCTTAAAAAAGACAAATCTACCAACTGAGTGTATGAAACTCACTTGGATCCTGATGCAAATAATCTTGAAAAAATTAACCATTTATAAGTCAACTGGGGAAATCTGAACAATGACCAGATACTCAATATTAAGGAATACCAAAAACAAAACCAAACTCGTTGCCATCAAGTAGATTCCAACTCATAGCGACTCTGTAGGAGAGAGTAGAACTGCCCCATCGGGTTTCCAAGGAGCAGCTGGTGGATTTGAACCGCCGACCTTTTGGTTAGTAGCCATGCTCCTAACCACTGAGCCACCAGGGCTCCTATTAAGGAATACATGTTGATTTTTTTAATATGATAATGGTATTATGGTTATGTTTAAAAAGACACCTTATAGAGACACACAATGAAATACTTCTAAATATTATTTTGGGTTTGCTTCAAACTAACCCAGTCGAGGTGTGGTGGTGGGAAAGGTACGGATGCAAGGAGAATGGTGATGAAGCTGAGTGATGATACATGAGGTATCAGGACTGCTTTCTTCTTTCATATGCTTGAAAATTTACATAATAAAAAGTTTTAAAAAAACAAACAGGAAAAAAAACACCCACACACACAAAACACTGCCCAGAGTGTGGTGCTGGCCACTGTTAGAAGGGGACCCTATCTAGGGACTCTCAGAGGCCTCAGCAGCCTGTGCAGGTAGCACCTCTGCATTGCTGACATTTGCTGAATGATTCAACCCCAACTGTTATCCTGATTGAAGACAGATCTAGTCCAAAAAAAACTGAGCTATAATAGCACCAAAAAGAATAAAACACTTAAGGAATAAATTTTTAAAAAGTAGTAGAAACTTATACTCTGAAAACTACAAAAGATTGTTGAAAGAAATTAAAGAAGACCTAAATAAACGGAATGATATCACATGTTCATGAATTAGAAGGCTTAATGTTGTTAATATGGCAATTCTCTCCAAAGCAATCTATGGATTCAATGCAATCTGTATCATAATCCCAGCTGCCTATTTTGCAGGAATTGACAATCACATCCAAAAATTAATATGGAAATACAAAGGATCCAGAATAGCCAAAACAATCTTGAAACAAGAACTAAGTTGGAGGACTCATGCACTGCAATTTCAAAGTTTACTACAAAGCCACAGTAATCAAAACAGTGTAGTACTGGTATAAGAATAAATATACAGATCAATGGAATAAACTGAGAGTCCAGAAATAGACATTCATGCTTACAGTCAATTGGTTTTCAACAAGGGTGCCAAAGCCATTCGATGAGGGAAAGAACAGTTGCTTCTACAAATGCTGCACTAACTGGATGACCACATGCAAGAGAATGAAGGTGGACCCTCACTCGGTCACAGATCTAAATGTAAGCCTTGTTAGAGCAGACCCAACACGGCACTACAGACAGAAGCACCATGTGGTTCCTCTGCAGCAAAGACCCGAAAAACTAAGTAAAACAGATATAAATGTCAATCCTGCAACCCTAAGCATCAAATGAAGGGATAAGGAACTCAATCAAGCACCAAATGGAAACTGACAGAGAACAGAGAATGAGGAGAGCTATGGAGTGGAGGTCCCCTACTAGCTAACGTGGCATGGATTCGCCATCTTGGACCTCAGCCACCAAGAATGGAGGACAGGGAGTATGGGAAGGCAATCGCATGGAGCTGCAAATAGGAGACAGAGCACCCGCTCCACACACTAAATCTCCTCCCTTCCCTCCTGCCTATCTGCACTGGGTGTCAAGCACTGTGCCCCTGAGTGGCACCGGCATGGATCACAGGGCCCCGACATGCTTCCCGGCCCCCCCATCGGCCCCAGTAGAGGCCACATACAACCAATTCCCACCTCTCCTGCCCTCCAATGGACCAGCCCTGCTGCACCACAGCTGAGCAACGGGCCCTACCCACCTGAACAGAGTGGTGAGAAGTATCATGTCCACAAAACAAGCAAGCAACAAAGTATGCCCAGCCTGCCTGCCAAGACATAACCAAATAAAACAAAAAAGCAGAATAAAACAATCAAATCTACAATCAACAAATGAAGAAAATAATTCCTGAATGTCCCAAAGACAGCAGACAATATAAAAACAAAAAAAAAAACAGGTCAGGATGGCTCCAGAAAGTGACCAAAATAAAACACCAGATGACCTTCTGGTAGAAGAAAAGGCACTGGAACTATCTGATAGGGAATTCAAAACTCTAATATTCAGGGCTCTTCAAGAGATGGAGGAAAACACAGACAAAAATAAGGTAAAAATAGAAAAAATCATGGAAAATACAGACATAATCAGGAAATCAATGGAAGAATTCAGGAAAATAATACATGAACTAAATGTCAAAATAAACAAGCAACTAGAAATCATACAGAAACAGCCATTAGAAATCCAAAAGATAAAAACAAGATTTCAGAAATGGACAGTGCAATAGAAGATTTTAGGGACAAATCTGAAACAAAGAAAAGACAAATCAGCAAAATTGAAGACAAATCCGTATATACCACTTTGTTTGAGGAAAAATCAGAGAAAAGAATGAAGAAACACTGAGAATGATGTAGGATACAATTAAAAGCAAAAATCTGCGTGTGATCGAAGTTCCAGAACAGGGGGAGAAAACAAAAAACACAGACAGGATCATTACAGATTTACTGACAGAAAACTTCCCTAATAACATAAAAGACGAAAAGCTAACCATCCAAGAAGCTTGGCGAACCCCATATAGCATAGACCCCAAAAGAAAAACACCAAGACATAACATAATCACTCGCTAAAACCAAAGACGAAGCAAGAAACCTCAGAGCAGCTCAAGAAAAAAAGTCACATACAAAGGGGAAATAATAAGACTAAGGTCTGATTACTCAGTAGAAACCACGCAGGAAAGAAGGCAATGGGAGGACGTACACAAAACTTTTAGAGAAAAAAAACTGCCAATCAAGAATAATATATCCTGCAAAACTCTCACTCAAATATGATGGTGAAATTAGGACATTTCCAGATAAACAGAAATTAAGGGAATATGTAAAAACCAAACCAAACTTACAAGAATTATTAAAGGAAGTCCTTCAGTTAGAGAACCAACAACATCAGACAACAACCTGAATCTAGGACACGACTGCATCAGCCAGGTATCAACCTAGGTAATGAACTCTTGAGGACAAAACAAAACTAAAATATTTACAACAGGGAACCAGAGAGCTCAATCTGTAAACGACAACAACATTAGAACAATAAAAGAGAGAATATACAGTGTAGGTGTAGTACTTTCAAACGAAGAGGAGTCAAGGTGATATCAAGTCACAAAAGACTGGTTTAAACTTAGGAAGACGGGTAAATTTCAAAGTAACCACAAACAAAGTTAACAAACCTACTCATTAAAATAAAGAAGAAAAACATAA